CTCTATTGGCGAAGTCCTGTGATTGGCTGAAACTAAATTTGATGCTGAGCCGCGGGAATAATACATTTTCAAAACACGGTGAGCAAAAAAGTGATCTTTTTTCATGTAAAAACTTCAACAAAAATATTTCAAACTGATGAAGGTTGGATAGTTCTGTCCGTATTTCATCTAATGACACATATTTTATTCTAAGGAAATTTCAATGAAGGCAAAAGACACAAAAGGGTTTAGTAAACAAAATGATGAAAGGTTGTATCAATGAAAAACAAAACTCAAGATTTGGGAAAGCATGATGACTCACTCAAATATTGAAGACTAAAAAACAATGTCAACACTCAACAGTTATATATTTCAATTTATATAATACCTTATTGAATTCTGATCGTTTAATTGGCTGTTTATGGTCACGTGATATTGAATAGAACATTCCATTTCCCAAGAGTGCAATGGAACACGTTCCATTGCACTCTCTGCGAGTGCAATGGTATAAAACGTATAGTACAATTGCACTCTTTGTGTTTTTGATAAATCGCATCCCTCAAAATGCTTCTCATACGAAAATATTAGTCTATTTTGGTATTATATAAAACAAATAATGAATGTTTTTTCGTGCATTGGTAAGAATATTTTCATTCGGTGAAAGATGGAATGTTCCATTCAACTCGGCTGTCGCCTCGTTGAATGGAACATTCCATCTTTCACCTCATGAAAATATTCTTACCATTGCACTCATAAACATTCATTATTTGTATAATAATATGTAAACCAATCAATCGAAATCACTATCTTGATATTTTCCGATTTGTTAGGAGGCAAATGGTGTCTCCAAAGAAAGTACATGTACAGACAACATGAAACTTTAAACTTTAAACTGCAAAATTGTACAAGCAGGAATCAAACTCATATCACAGAAGTCGTAAAGGTCACATGTGTGACAACTGAATGGCATCCTTTTGTAATTTCTTTGGCCAGGTGTGGCTGTTTATTTTTAATTTATATTTGAGGTTGGGTAGAAAGTTTTTTTATAACTTTTTTACTTTTTAATGGTTGGATTAGCAAAATGTTAACCGCCGGCAAAGAGAGTTTAGAAATCTTTATTTGAATGCAACTATTTCATATTTCAATAACATTTTAATCAGTTCTTGGCTACATACTACACTACAGTATAATTAAGCTTCTGTACGTTGTAACAATTAAATCAGCTTGTTGAATCAGCCGTTTTAATTACTATTGTTCCCAGTAAACTGCGAAACGACCGTTTTTTTAGGCGATTTGTCAGCGACAGTTTTGTCGATTACGAAGGACATATTTGTGTACCTCGTGAGAAAAACCGAAAGTTTCAGTTTGACGGTTCTGACAGTTAAATGGTTTCTAATTTTATTGTCCAATCAGGTGCGTAGTTTTGATTTAAAATTCAAAACTACGCATCATCTGATTGGACAATAAAATTAGAACTCATTTAACTGTCAAACTGAAACTTGCAGTTTTTCACACGCCGCTTGCAACGAATTGTGATCACGAGGTACATTTTTTTATGTCCTTCGTAATTGACAAAACTGTCACTGACAAACCGCCTAAAAAACGGTCGTTTCGCAGTTTACTGGGAACAATAGTACTCAGTGTTTTAACCCAGAACCTTCCCTTGTTTGGTTTTCTCCTCGTACTTGGAGGGTGTGATTGTGACCGCAGGTGGTGCTGGGAATACTTCGGGTGGATTCTCATCATTGAGGGATTCTGGGTAGTCTTCTTGAGCCAAAGATAGTTTGCCAATCAACGATCGTTTCTTACCACTCAGATTCGCAGTCTACCATTTTACCTCAGCATGTCGACCTGTAACCAAATTGAACTATTATCATTTCTTTTCTAATTTCACAAAATTACTATCTCTCCAGCAGGGTTTATTTAAACGTACAGTTCTACCCCAAAGGGTATTGGGCTGTCAATTTCCCGTTTGTAATGCAAAATGACTGAAAAACGGCAAACTTCGCAAGGCTATGTTATCCGCAAGACAATTGCAGTAAGATTTCAACCTTATTGGATCATCTAGGGAGAACAGTTTATAACTGAGAGAATTAATCAGTATAAATAAAGTTTTAGATTGGGGTTTCTAGTGTAGTACCACTGGATGATTAAAAGATGACTCTTACTGGACCTCAAGGGAGAACAATTAAAAACTGATAGAGCTATATGCAGTTTAAAAGTTAATTTGGTAAAGGTGTCCTGATGTAGTTACAGTACATTGGACCAAGCTTGGTACTACAGAACCTCTTGGGAGAATGGAAGCCTCTCCCAGAATCAATAGAATTAGTTCATAGTTCAATAGTTTCTTACCTTAGAACAATAGCCAACAAGATGACAACCTTTTCTGTCGTTTAATGTCAACACATAGAATAGCAACGGCTCGACGTCATAATAAAGAGTTTTGTGATCCAGGCCAACAGACACAGGTTTTGGCAGTAAATCTTTACAAAAGAAACGATAAATACAAAACATTGTGAGACCATATACAATTTCACCACCAAGAGAACTGATAAAGCTATGCAGTTTAAATCAAGTTACTTTAGTTTAGGTTTCCTCCTGTAGTAAAACTGGATCAATAAGAGATGACCCTTGCTGGACCTCTAGAAAGAACAGTCTAGAACTGATAGAGCTATCCATGCAGTATAAATAAAGTTAGTTTAGATTTCGTCCTGTAGTAAAACTGGGTCAATAAGAGATGACCCTTGCTGGACCTCTAGGAAGAACAGTCTAGAACTGATAGAGCTATCCATGCAGTATAAATAAAGTTAGTTTAGGTTTCCTCCTGTAGTAAAACTGGGTCAATAAGAGATGACCCTTGCTGGACCTCTAGGAAGAACAGTCTAGAACTGATAGAGCTATCCACGTAGTATAAATAGTACTTAAAAAACTCATTAATAATTCAGGAGGAAAACACAAAGAAAAATCATAAGCGTGTCGTATCATTATATGTGATAAAAAATCATGTTAATTTATATAAACTTTAGCTTTAATTTTCTCGGTTTAGACAAGGTTTATTTTGAAAATTACTTCGCTAATGTACTCATCAGAAGATGGGTCGTTTTTTAAGCCATTTAAAACACTTGTAGTCGTGTTTTATCAGATATAAAACGCTCGGCTGCGCCTCGCGTTTTATATCTGATAAAACACTCCTACGCGTGCTTTAAATAGTACTTAGTTTAGATTTCGTCCTGTAGTAACACTGGATCAATTCGAGATGACCCTTATTGGACCTCTAGGGAGAACAGTTTAGAACTGAAAGAGCTAACGATATACTGTATTTGTTATTAAAATATATTTCCATCGATATTAAATGTGGCTGTATCCTAGAGTTAGATCTTCACTGGAATCAGACCAACTAACCAAACACAGCTCGATGTTTGATTTAGGCTGAATGCTAGACATGAAGGAATAATGAATCCCTCACATTCAAAGATCAGCCAATTGTTCATGTTTCATTATAACTTTACTTTGGGATGTTACGTTCCCAGGCCTTTTCTCACCTTGTTCACTGCTCCGTCAACCTCAAACATGGCGGTAAATTTCATTAGCAGGGGGGTAGAACCATCCACACTTTGTCTGAAATGTCAAAATAACGCGAGTAAAACAAACGGCTCTATCAAACGCCAAAGACTTTCTTCTGATACTCAAGTTTCCGCCTGTGATAACACTGGAACAAAAAGGAAAGACACTTACTGGACCTCTATGGAAAACAGTTTGGAACTGATAGAGCTATCCAGTATAAATATGATTTCGTTAGGTTTCCTCCTGTTGTAACACTTGATAAATAAGTGATTCTTACTGGACCTTTAGGAAGAACAGTTTAGAACTGATAGAGCTATCCAGTATAAATGTGATTTCGTTAGGTTTCCTCCTGTTGTAACACTTGATCAATAAGTGATTCTTACTGGACCTTTAGGAAGAACAGTTTGGAACTGATAGAGCTATCCAGTATAAATATCATTTCGTTAGGTTTCCTCCTGTTGTAACACTTGATAAATAAGTGATTCTTACTGGACCTTTAGGAAGAACAGTTTACAACTGATAGAGCTATCCAGTATAAATGTGATTTCGTTAGGTTTCCTCCTGTTGTAACACTGGATCAATACGTGATTCTTACTGGACCTTTAGGAAGAACAGTTTGGAACTGATAGAGCTATCCAGTATAAATATGATTTCGTTAGGTTTCCTCCTGTTGTAACACTGGATCAATACGTGATTCTTACTGGACCTCTAGGAAGAACAGTTTAGAACTGATAGAGCTATCCAGTATAAATAAAGTTGCTTAGTTTAGTGGTAATCTCATAAGGTCCGAACTGAATAGTGGTGAGCGCGAATTGGATCCTGGGTCAGCAACAGGTGAACACCCATTTCGCTGCTTGCGTTTTCTTGCGCTTTCTTGAATACCACGCAATCTTCTTCCGTCACACCTGAGGGAAATGAATCAGTGTTTACATAAGCCAGTTACAGACGAGCAAGTTTTCTATGACAAGTTTTTATGTGACAAGTTTTATTTGCCAAGTGCATGTGTGTATATGCAACAAATTTTATATGACAAGTTTTCATATGACAATTTCACATTTACTGGTGTGAACGTGTCAGAAAAACATGTCGTGTTTATCGCCGCCATCACAGAAAAAATATAATAGTCCGCTGGCCAATCACATCAAATGCTCAGATTACTTTGACAAATTTTCTTTGTTGACCCATACAGATGAACAAAATTTGTACTTTGACAACTTTTTCTATGACAAGTGCACTTGTTCAAAAGCTAGCATGCTAGCTTTTGAACGGGTGCACTTGTCATAGAAAAAATTGTCAAAGTTGCGCGTACAGACGAGCAAATAAAACTTGTCACATAAAAACTTGTCACAGAAACATTGCTCATCTGTAACCGGCTTAAGCGATACATGGATAGATTTATTATTAAAAATACATTGCTTACTGGCGGGAAGCTGATTATGTGTTAGAATAAAACTACCATTAAATGTCCAGTTTTGGGACACCGCTACAGCTAGCGGTATAGTGTCCGAACGGGGGTATTAACAGTTCACAGTTAAGTTTAATGCTCACCTGGTGGTAATGGTGGTCGTTTGTGTGTGGGTGATTTTGGTGATGAACGAGGTCGACCGACCTCGCCTCTTCTTTATGGTATAACATCTGTCGTTTCTTTCACTTTCTCCCGTGACAGCAAGAGCTCTGCGATCTGATGTCTCTTTTTCAAAGATTAAGCAATTGGACAACCGTACAGCTGCAGGAGTAAAAAATAGGAGAGAAAAGTTTAAAGTTTGTTCGTTCACTGCAACCAGGTATATCAATCATGTTTCGCTCGCTACTCTGGTTCAAATAAATTATCACAAAGCAAAATAAATGATTACAAAATAAATTATTCAAATAAATGATTACAAAGCAATGATTACAAAGCCCGGATGAAGACACTAGACTGGAGTGTCGAAACGTTGGGTCTTGATTACAATTCGACTGGGCTTTGTAATCATTTATTTGAACCAGAGTAGCGAGTGAAAATGGAGTTTTGGCATTTGAAAATGGAGTTCTGGCATTTGAAAATGAAGTTCTGGCATTTGAAAATGGAGTTCTGGCATTTGAAAACAGCGTTCTGGCATTTGAAAACGGCGTTTAGGCATTTGAAAATGGCGTTTAGGGCATTTGGAGTTTTGGCAATTGAAAATGGAGTTTTGGCTTTTGAAAATGGAGTTTTGGCATATTTGAAAATGGAGTTTTGGTTTTTGAAAATGGAGTTTTGGCTTTTGAAAATGGAGTTTTGGCATCTGAAAATGGAGTTTTGGCAATTGAAAATGGAGTTTTGGCAATTGAAAATGGAGTTTTTGCATTTGAAAACGGAGTTTTTGCATTTGAAAATGGAGTTCTGGCATTTGAAAACGGAGTTTCGGCATTTGAAAAGGGAGTTCTTGAAATTTTCTACCTTACTTAAGCATGCATAAGACCTTTTGATCAAGGATTGCAGTTAGCTTCAGGTACTTGCAGGTAGCACCGCTACCTAGGATCCCAACGTCTGACAAGCATGCTTCAAAATCATTACAGAGCAGCAAATGGTGGTCAACTAAGCTGCACTGCGATTTACAACTTTTCCTGTCATAGATAGATCACAGACATAATGACTTACTGTGGATTCAGTAAGACCACAGTTATTTTAATAGATGGTTTGGAGACTTGATGAACTACAATATAACTCATTAACTATGTTATTGTCCAACTTTATGCAAGAATTTGGTCCTATTTCGTCACATGTGTATTGTATTTTCGCTCAAATAACCAATTATAATTTCATTTATGCATTCTTGCATAAACCGAAACCAACATAGTTAATGAGTTTTAGTATAATTACATAGGTGATTATTCAAAATTCTCCACGCTGATTGGTTGCCGTTTGAGGTGATTATTACGCGATAATCACCTAAGCGATTTTCAAAATGGCGGCGGAAGCCTTTTTGTCAATTAAATGACGAAGAAATGTGTATTTTCTTATTTTTTTCCAAATAATCACCTATGAAATTATACTAAAACAATTATTCACCTCAGGCTCGGTGATTATCGGTGAATAAAAACCTCGACTTCGTCTCGGTTTTTATTCACCGATAATCACCTCGCCTTCGGCGAATAATTGTTAAATATTGTACTTTCATCGAGTCTCCAAACTATGTATTCTATTAACTGTGGTAAGACTAATTACATGTGATCCAAATAATTATCGCATGAATTGCAACTGTTGCATTATGACGCTTCTAGGCAGGTTGATTGACGTTGCAATGTTGTTTTTAAAATTCAACTGTTCATGGTGTGAATTTTACAGTTTACGAATAAGGAAAAGCAGTGTCGAGCAAAACCAGAAGAAGTATTGACAAAACAACTCCCAGATGTAGACAGAAAGAGACATGACTAAAACCACCGCGAATTATGTAAGCCAGAAGATGTTTTTCTCACAATACATATAAACCGTACCCTCAATTAACCTGCTTAGAAACGTCATGATGCACGCATGGGATAATTATTCGCATTACACAGTCTTCCTGAATCTGTAGTATTGCAATTTGGCTGTTTGCAGCAGCTGGATATGGTTCAGCTAGATAATATGTACTTTCAACAAATTCAATGTTGCCATCATTTGTAAGCAACAATAATTCTTCAAAATTGTCACATTTCTTGTCATATTGACGTTCCAGCTAGAGCTTGGTAAAAACACAGCAACCCTGGCTCTGGCTAACCAAAAAACACCAACAGAACTCCAGTGCACAGCACTAGTTTATTCAAGATCATATACCGTCGCTTGCAACTAAGGATGAACAGGTCGAGTGCTCTTAAAAACACTGCCTATTTGCATGACAAAGTTCAATGTTTTTACCGAGAAAGTTCATTGTTTGTCAGGAGCAGGCCCGTAGCTGAGGGGGGGGGGGGCCTGGGGGGGGAAGTGCCCCCCGCCCACTCGGAAATAAAATTGAAATTATGCCCCCCCCCTTACGTTTTGCAGAACTAATAGCTGTTAATGTTGTTATTTTTTTGGGCTAAGTACCGAAATTTGGTATGAAAAATTGAGATAAAGGACCTGGAAACCAATTGCAATGTACTTGTCCAGAAAATTTTTGACCTAAAAAGTTGTCGACGGGGAGGGGGGGAGAGGTCGTTGTCAGAAAAAAAAAATTCAACCCCTCATCTCAAACCCTCTGTTACATTCTTTCTGCAGTGCCCCCC